CAGGCAATGAGGCACATGCCCAGCGGGGGCCATGCAGGGCAGAGGAGGAGAGGTCGCAGCCCCAAGCCGTGTGGACTGCACTGCTCGAAGGCTGCGTTCATTCGCAGGCCTCCTCTGGGTGTCAGGGCTGCCAGCTCAAGAGCGAACGTGTGCCCTCTGACGGCAATGTCGTCTGGGAGGCTGTGCCAAGTCGAGGACCTCTGGGGAAGCAGACACCAAGGTGGAGCTTGGAAGAGCAGGGGAGATGCCCACTCGGAGGAGAGAGGAGTGCAGAGAAGGGGCAGGGAGCCCTCAGACCCATGAGGCATGGCCCGGCACCTGGAAAATGGGAGGGAGGAAAGGGTTTGGAAAGAAGCGAGGCCCAGATCAAGTGCCGCTTGGAGAAAGGCTGCAGGCCCACCCACAAGGAGCTCCACCGCCAGAATGGCCATGGAGGGCTCATAGCACCAATGCAGAGTGTTGTACCCCGCGGTGCTCACTGACTGGGAGCATTCCCACGGTAAAAGCATGTCCTTGGCTCAGATTGCTGAGGCCGAGCCTGAGTGCCCCACAGCTGGAGGCTGTTCAGCTTTCCTGCACTCCGGGGGTGGGCTCCCTCTAGGAGCGGACCTCAGAGCGCACATCCCCTGGCCACCTCAGAGACCAGCCTATCCCGAGGGCCAAGCCACGGCTTCGTGGGGCCTTCGTGTAACTGGAAGGCCAGGAGGGCTTGTTCTCCTGGAAACCGTGCACTGTGGTGGGAAGGGTTTGCCCCTCTTGCCTGCAGGGCCCCAGGGCCACACCTCTCTCTGGGGGTTCTGGTGACTGCATGTTCAGGCGTGAATCCCAGGTATCAATTAGCCTCATTGGGGAGCCGGCGCAAGGAAGGAGTCGGAGTGGTGCTGGGGCATGAGCACATCGGTCCATCTCATGTTTGCTGGGGCCTTACGAGCTGCCTGCCTGACAGCGCAGGGGGGTGCAGTTGGCGATGAAACCATGCTGCCGAAAGCACCAGCTCCAAAACAGCATCTGTGAGACTGGGCTGCCGCCCCCAGTTCTAGGGGAATCGGAGCCTCTATGTTGCTGCTGTGTCCCAGCAGAAGACCAAAACGGGACCAGGCAAAACCCCAGGTGAGAAGGCAGGAGTGCCCCACTTTCCCATAGCCCCAGTCCTCAGCGGGGAGTTTGTGGTGACATGTCCACCCTGGGCTCCGTGTGCTGGAGGTAGGCGCAAATTGTGGGGTGCGTGCTTTCTGGGGGAACAGAAAGGTCTGTTGAAGTGCTAGCTATGGCCAAGCCTGGTGGCTCCGAACTTTCCTGCGTATGAGACAGCAGCCAGGAGACATGTGCCCATTATTCCAGGGCCCCTGATCCCGATCAGGGAAGGCAGGTACGGAAAAACTGTAGTCCACATGAAGGCGGGAATGAGTATTGGAGCTCAGGCGACCCTGGCCCCCATTGTGGCCATGAGTGGATATGGGCAGCCTCCTCTGGCCTTCTGGAGGCCACGGGCCACAGGGCTTGTGCCCAAGGCTCTGGTCTGGCGGCCTGGGGAGAGTATTTGGCCCTGCCAGGCAGGGAAGCCCCGACCAGTGCAGCGGGTGGGGAGGTGGGAGGATCCGTGACATGGAGGCGTTGGCAAGACAGCATTGAGGCAGCAGAGGTGCCTTGAGATTCAGAACCTGGCACAGTTATGGGGCCCTCCGATAGCGGGTGGTGTGCATCGTATCTCAGCTACTTCCAAGGGAGGGCTGAGCGAAGAGGATTCACTTGAGACCAGGAGGTCAGTATGCAGGACGCTGACTAGCTATGATTCTGCCTGTGGACTAGTCGTCGTGCTTCAGCCTGGGCAATGCAAAGACGAGCTGGTCCCTAAAAACAACAAAAAGGTCTGGAGTTGTGGTGGTGGCTCACGTCTGTAATCCCCGAGCTGTTGAGGAGGGCCAAGAGATTGTTTGAGCCCAGGAGTTGAGGACCAGCCTGGGTCAACCAATTAGTGAGAGCCTCTTCTAAAATTAACTAATCTTTCTTTCTTTTCTGTGTGTGGGTACACAGTATATTTATGGGTTACATGATGTAAGATATTTTGATACTGGCATGCAATGCATAATAATCACATCAGAGTACATGAGGTATGCATCACCTCAATAATTTATTTTAAAGATGGGATCTCACTATGTTGCCCAGGCTGAAGTGCAGTGGCTATTTACTGGCAAGATCATAGTGCACTGCAGCCTTGAACTCCTGGGCTCAAGTGATCCTCCCTCCTTAACTTCCTGAGTAGCTGGGACTACAGGTGAATGCCACCACACTCAGCAATCTAGTGGTTTTTTTTTTTTTTTTTTTTGGGAGACAAGAGTTTCACTTTGTCACTGAGGCTAGGGTGCAGTGGTGCAATCATAGCTCACTGACACCTTGAATTCCTGGGCTCAAAGGATCCTCCTGCCTCAGCCTCTGAGTAGCTGGGACTATAAGCATGTGCCAACACGCCCAGCTAATTTATTTATTTATTTATTTTATTATTATTTTTTGAGATGGAGTCTCACTCTGGTCCCCCAGGCTGGAGTGGAATGGCACGATCTTGGCTCACCGCAATCTCTGCCTCCTGGGTTCAAGTGATTCTCCTGCCTTAGCCTCCTGAGTAGCTGGGATTACAGGCGCCTGCCACCATGCCCAGCTAATTTTTGTATTTTAAGTAGAGATGGGGTTTCACCATGTTGGCTAGGATGGTCTCAAACTCCTGACCTCAAGTGATCCATCCGCCTCGGCCTTCCAAAATGCTGGGATTACAGGCGTGAGCCACTGGGCCCAGCCTATTTATTTTTGAGATGGAGTCTTGCTCTGTCACTCAGGCTGGAGTGCAGTGGAACGATCTCTGCTCACTGCAACCTCTACCTCCCGGGTTCAAGTGATTCTCCTGCCTCAGCATCCTGAGTAGCTGGGATTACAGGCGCCTGCCACCATGCCCAGCTAATTTTTGTATTTTAAGTAGAGATGGGGTTTCACCATGTTGGCTAGGATGGTCTCAAACTCCTGACCTCAAGTGATCCATCCGCCTCGGCCTTCCAAAATGCTGGGATTACAGGCGTGAGCCACTGGGCCTGGCCACCCAGCTAATTTTTACATTTTTTGTAGGGATAGGGTCTCACTATGTTGCCTGGGCTGGTGTCAAACTCCTGGGCTCAAGCGGTCCTCCCACCACAGCCTCCCAAAGTGCTAGGATTACAGGCGTGAGCCATTGTGTCCAGCTCCAGAGTGTGTGTTTGTGTGTCTGTGTGACAGAGTCTTGCTCTGTCACCCAGGATGGAGTGCAGTGGTGTGATCTTGGCTCACTGCAACCTCCATCTCCTTGGGCTGAAGTGATCCTCCCACTTCAGCCTCCCAGGTAGTTGGAACTACAGGCACGCACCACCACACATGACTACTTTTTTGTAATTTTTTTTGGTAGAGACAGGGTTTTACCATGTTACCCAGGCTGGTCTTGAACTCCTGGGCTCAAGCAATCCACCTGCCTCAGCCTCCCAAAATGCTGGGATTACAGGCATGAGCCACCACGCCCGGCTGTCCAGTGTGTTTTTTAATGAGTAAGATAATCTTAAATTTTCATAGATAGAATGTGATACATTTAAGTAAAGCAACTTATCTTTGCAAACATATTCTGGAGCCAACAAAAAAATATACCCTTGAAATATATAAAATTATCTTATAAAGCATCCTTTAAAATGTTTCACAAATATTTACACATCAGCAAATATTCTCAATTTCATATAAAAATTAGTACCTGAGAAATTTGCTACATGAGTACATTCATCCATGACACCTTTCATAAATATTAAAGATTCTTTCCGAAGATTGTTTCTTCTTTGTTCTTTACTAAGTAGGTGGTATGACTGAGGGTTGCAACTTGTATAACTACTTTTGTTGGTTGAAAGTGTTTGATTGAAGCACTTCATCTTAGAGGTATCTTGCAATAAAAGTCCTTCTGATGTTGCACTGACAGATGTTTTACTAGAATTATGGCAGTCAGCAGGTTTTTGGGATACAACTTGGTTTGTTATATCTAAATTTAAAGTTCTAGAAACCAGATTAAGGTTAGTTAGCTTGTCTGCACTGCTAGTGAAGCATTTCACAAACTCTTGTCCCATTTTGAAAGAATCTGTCTGAACATATGAAAGAAAACATTATTTAATATAAAATAGGGTTTTATTAACAACTTTGTCAAAAAAAAAAAAGAAAAGACAAATGTCCATCAATGAATAAATGGATAAACAAAATGTGGTACATTCAAACAAACAGTATTCAGTCTTAAAAGGAATGAAATTCTGACACATGCTACAACATGGATGAACACTGAAGACATTATCTTAAGTGAATAAGCCAGACACAAAAGGAGAAATATTGTATGATTCCACTCATATGAGGTCCCTATAGCTGTAAAATTCATAGCAATGAAAAGAGAATGGCAGCTGCCAGAGACTGGGAGAAGGGAGGAATGAGTAGTTTTGTTCAATGGGTAAGTTTCAGTTTGAAAAGATAAAAACGTTTTGGAGATAGATGGTGGTGATGGTTGCACAACATGTATATACTTAATGCCACTGAACTATACACATAAAAATGGTTATGATAGTAAATTTTATGTTGTATATATTTACCATTTTTTTTTTTTTTTGAGACGGAGTCTCGCACTGTCCCCCAGGCTGGAGTGCAGTGGCGCAATCTCGGCTCACTGCAAGCTCCTCCTCCTGGGTTCATGCCATTCTCCTGCCTCAGCCTCCCGAGCATCTGGGACCACAGGCGCCTGCCACCACGCCCGGCTAATATTTTGTATTTTTAGTAGAGATGGGGTTTCACTGTGTTAGCCAGGATGGTCTTGATCTCCTGACCTAGTGATCCACCCGCCTCAGCCTCCCAAAGTGCTGAGATTACAGGCGTGAGCCACCGTGCCCAGCCTCATAATTTTTTTAAAAAAGAAAGAGGTATCAAAATTTAACTCAGGACTAAGATAAATGACTTACACTTTATTGCTGTTTCCTACTTAATAGTAAAGGGTATCATTTAGCCTGCATCTTTTTTTTTTTTTTTAACAGCCAAAGTTTTGAAATCCATGATCTGCCTTAACCTTTGAACTTCTAAAAGTCTTACAAATGAGTAACGTAAATTCAAACAGAAGAGGACACCAGCGTCCCCAAATCCCTTTCTCTGGTTGAACTAACCAGAATTAAAAATTATTGGCTGGGCGTGGTAGCTCACGCCCGTAATCCCAGCACTTTGGGAGGCTGAGGCGGGCAGATCATGATGTCAGGAGATCAACACCATCCTGGCCAACATGGCAAAACCCTGTCTCTAATAAAAATACAAAAATTAGCCGGGCATGGTGGTGTGTGCCTGTTATCCCAGCTACTTGGGAGGCTGAGGCAGGAGAATCGCTTAAATCTGGGAGGCAGTGGTTGCAGTAGGTTGATATCGTGCCACTGCACTCCAGCCTGGGTGTCTCAAAAAAAAAAAAAAAAAAAATCAAGAAAAAAAGAAATATTGCCTGTTAAAGTCTCAAAACTGTATTCTAAGTTTAAGGACTTGTAAATACAGTTATGTGTTGTTTAATGATGGGATATGTTCTGAGAAATGCATCATTAGGTGGTTTCATTGTTGTGTGAACATCACCGTGTATTTACATAAACCTACATGGTATAGCTGACTACACACCTAAGCTATATGGTGTAATCTATTGTTCCTAGGTTACTAACCTATACAACATGTTACTGTACTTAATACTGTAGGCAACTGTAACACAATTGTAAGTATTTGTATATCTAATCATAGAAAAGGTACAGTAAGTAGGCCAGGCACGGTGGCTCATGCCTGTAATCTCAGCCCTTTGGGAGGCCGAGGGTGGGTTGATCACTTGAGGTCAGGAGTTCCAAGACTAGCCTGGCCAACATAGTGAAACCTTGTCTCTACTAAAATATAAAAATTAGCCAGGTGTGATGGTGGGTACCTGTAATCCCACCTACTTGGGAGGCTGAGGCAGGAGAATCATCTGAACCCAGGAGGTGGAGGTTACAGTGAGTAGAGACTGTGCCACTGCACTCCAGCCTGGGCGACAGAGCAAGACTCCATCTCAAAAAAAAAAAGAAAGAAAGAAAAAGAAAAAGAAAAGGTATAGTAAAAATATCGTATTAAAATCTTTTGGGCCACTTTATATATGTGACTGAAGCATTGTTATGCATAACATGACTGTACAATGTAAGTAAATAATATATGAGGTAAGTGTCTCCCTATAAAAGTATTCAAACTAATACATGAAAAAGAAATAATAGAATATCAGCAACCATCAATGTATTGATACAGTCATTAAGCATCAGTAGAGGCTTACATCATAAAAAAAGAGAAAATCAGATATTACGTGTTTCCTATAGCCTTGTGAAAGAAATCAAAACAATGAGTTTAATCAAGCCTTTATCTAGATCCAACTGCCAATTTTCAGGCAATGTAGAGCAAAATGCTGAACTGTACCATGCGAACACAAACAGAAAAATCTAGATTGTGAGAAACCCTACAGGTCAAATAACCTAAATTCTTCATGAAATAAATTATAAGGAACATAAAGGGATGTAGGGCAACTTATTTCTTTTCTTTTTTTCAGACTGATTGATTGATTGATTGATTATTATTATACTTTAAGTTCCAGGGTACATGTGCACAACGTGCAGGTTTGATACACAGGCATACACATGCCATGTTGGTTTGCTGCACCCATCAACTTGTCATTTATATTAAGTATTTCTCCTAATGGTATCCATCCCCCAACTCCCCACCCGCCGACAGGCCCCAGTGTGTGATGTTCCTCGCCCTGTGTCCAAGTGTTCTCATTGTTCAATTCCCACCTGTGAGTGAGAACATGTGGTGTTTGGTTTTCTGTCAGAAGGCAACTTATTAAAGGCACTTCAAATAAAAGAACTATAGGGTCTACAGATACACATTTGGATAATAAAATTATTTTAAAAGCAGAAGGAATAAACATAAGGATAATGATTACTAATAATGTAGGAAGGAAGGCTTTGTGATTAGGACACATTTGAAGGGGTTTTCTGGTTTGGGTGGTCAAGTTTTATTTTTGACCTAGGTAGTAGTTACAGTGTGTTTGCCTTTTAATAAATGTAGTAAACCACATATATGCTTTGCATGATTCTCTGTATCTGTGTTTTATTTTAAAATAATATTTATTTATTTATTTTTAAGAAAGAGTCTCACTCTGTCACCCAGGCTGGAGTGCAGTGGCACAGTCTTGGTTCACTGCAACCTACAACTCCCAAGTTCAAGAGATTCTCCTGCCTTAGCCTCCTGAATAGCTAGGATTACAGGCATCCAACAACACATGCGGTTAATTTTTGTATTTTTACAGAGATGGTGTTTAGAGATGGGTTTGGCTGGGCTAGTCTCAAACTCCTGACCTCAAGTGATCAACCCGCTTCGGGCATCCCAAGGTGCTCGGATTACAGGTGTCACCCACCATGCCCGGGAAAAAATGAAAAATTTTTGAAGTTAAAAAATAGTATGTACGGCTAGCTATGTTTTTAAAAACTTGCTATTCTCTTTAAAAACCTGAATCATTAAATATACAATCAACTCCCCCCTCCACCAATGTTGGGTGGAAAGTGAAATACTTACTCCACAGTATTCAAGCATGTGAATAATTTCTTCTTCATATACTGTCTGGGTATAATATTGCTTTTCCAGCTCCCGCCAATTAATTGATTTACTCAACACACCCTGAAATAATAAGCTAAATTAAGATCAAACCACATCATAAGGCAATTTGCCCAATACTTTTATTATTATTACTATGTGAGACTACCTTTTTTTTTTTTTTTTTTTTTTGGCAGACGAAGTCTCACTCTGTTGCCCAGGCTGGAGTGCAATGGCACTATCTCAGCTCACTGCAACCTCCGCCTTCCGGGTTCAAGTGATTCTCCTGCTTCTGCCTCCCAAGTAGCTGAGACTATAGCCATGTGCCACCATGCCCAGCTAATTTTTGTATTTTTAGTAGAGACAGAGTTTCACCAAGTTGTCCAGGCTGGTCTCGAACTTCTGACCTCAGGTGGTCCACCAGCCTCAGCCTCCCAAAGTGCTAGGATTACAGGTGTGAACCACCGCTCCCAGCCTGAGACTGCCTATCTTTCGCCTGCATGTAAGGTTGGCCCTTAACTGGAGTCTGGGAAATTGACCAATAAACAGCTTTCTATATTTTATAAAACTTTTCCTAAAAGATAAGACTGGGTCACTGTATCTAAACTGCTTATATAAACAATGCAGTTTCTGCTGAACACCTGCTTTCCTTCTGAATTTTTGGTGCATGCTAGGCAGAAGTTATCCAAGTCACTAACCCCTGATAAAAACTCTGGACTGCAAGGCTCAGGGGAGCTTCACTGATGGACAGCGCTTTGCACTTACTGTCAATAATTATTGCTGGAAGAATTAAGCATGAACTGTAACACTCCATTAGGAGAGGAATCTCGGAAGCTTGTTCTTGGTTTCTTTTGTTGTAGTTAAGCCTTAATCATGATTACGACTATATCATCATACGACTCAGGAGTCCTATAATTCCTTCCATGAATCACCAAAGCTAAGGGTGGTTTTGGGGACCCCCAAAACAATTACCTCTAATTATATATAGCTACCTAATATTAATTACAATTAAATTACCGTAGTGAAGACCCCAGATGCTGTGGACCAAGACAAGCATGGAATCAATGGCATGGGCTTAGGCCAGTTGGATACCGCTAAGGAAGCCATCTGTAATATAACAGATAGTTTAGAGAGCTTCTGTAGAGTTTCTATTCAGTAAAATAAAAATATTTAATATTAATAAGCATTCAGTGCAGTAAGTTGGTCAGATAAACACAAAGTCTGCAAACATTTGTGAGAATGTCTAGCAACCTCATTAAACTTCCCAAATCATAAATTCAACAACATTTAATTTCCCCCTTAGAAAGCAGTAAAATGTAATAGAAAACTTTAAGTAACCTCAAGACCATTCACTGAGAGCTACTTTCTACTGTGTAAATATGGAGCAAAGATGCCGAGATGTAGATGCTGGGCAGCAGGGTAAACACACTCATTACTTAAGTGACTTACTCAGATACAGCAAAATCACAACTATAAAACAGACCATTGAGGTGGACTGAGTATGCAAAGAATTTGGGGAACCACAAAGCAGATTACATAATAGATATAAAATAATGTAATGGGTGTGATTAGAGAAGGGAAAATTACTCTCCCTTTTGGAGAAGGGAGAACTTCATCTTCTGGAAAAGTTACTTTCCCTTCTGGGCTGGAGGAATCAGAAGGGAAAGGCAGGCTTCATGAAATGGGTGAGTCTTCTAGAGGAATGAAAGATAGGGTCTTGTCTTCCATAGAAATAAATCAGTATGATCAAAGGCAAGATGGTGAGAATGCACAGGGTCTCATAGGGAAATAATCAATATGCTTCAGTTGGGATGGTCAATAGGCACATGTGGCCAATGGAGTGAGGGAGATATGTAGGGCTAGAAAGATTGATCAAGATCAGATTAGAGGTCCTTTGTTCTACAGATAATCGAGAATTAATAAAGAGGTCTGAGCAAAGGAGTAGTATTGTCAAAGAAGTGATTCAAAGAAGGTAACATGATAGTAGTTTACAGGACTGAATAGAGAAGGGGAGAGCTGAGGTAGGAAGACCAGTTGATAGGCAGTAATCCAGGTGAGTTATAAGGACCTGACCTAGGTGATAACAATGGAAACACTACTAGGTAGGAATATAAATCCTTTTCCATCTTCTGTTTCACTGTCAGGTAGTTGTTTTGAATTTTTTTTTTTTTTTTTTTGAGATGGAGTCTTGCTCTGTTGCTCAGGTTGGAGTGCAGTAGCGCGATCTCAGCTCACTGCAACTTCCACTTCCCAGGTTCAAGCGATTCTCCTGCCTCAGCCTCCTGAGTAGCTGGGATTACAGGCGTGTGCCACCACACCTGGCTAATTTTTGCATTTTTAGTAGAGATGGGGTTTCACCATGTTGGTCTGGCTGGTCTTGAACTCCTGACCTCAGGTGATGTGCCTGCCTCAGCATCCCAAAGTGCTGGGATTACAGGTGTGAACCACTGCGCCCATGTAGTTTTAAATTTGAGTAAGTTTTTGAACTTAACTTTCAAATTCAAGAGAAATGAAGAGACTTCATATAATAATAATAATTATTATTATTTTGAGATAGAATCTCGCTTCTGTCTGGGTCACCTAATCTGGAGTGCAGTGGTATGATCACAGCTCACTGCAGACTCAAACTCGGGGGCTCCCCCTCAGCCTCCCATGTAGCCACAACTACAGAGATGTGCCACCATGCCTAATTTTTTAAACAATTTTTTTGTAGAGACAGGGTCTTACTACTATGTTGCCTAGGTTGAGGTATGATTATTTTTTAGGCCAGGTGCAGTGGCTCACACCTATAATCCTAAAACTTTGGGAGGCCAACCTGTGTGGATCACTTGAGCCCACACACAAACAAAATACTAATAATTTTTAAAAAACGTACTGAGTGACTAATATGTGCCAAGTAATAAATCAGAGCATATTCCTGGCCCTCTATGTCTCAACTGCTTCATGGAGAAAACAGACTGCTGAACAAGTCAGTAAAGTACAGTAAAAAGTTACTAATGAGAGTTTCAAGTATAGTCTGGAGGTAAGGCTGGGTGTCACAGCTGAAACAGAAGGGTAAGCTGTTACTCAGCTAGGTGAAAGAGAATAAGGGAGCACTAGAGGGATGCTAGCATGTGACACAGCTGGAGCCCAGTGTGCACACAAGCTTTTGGCAGGTTTTGAACAAGACAGAACAAAGACAAGATTTGGAAAGATCACTGTAGTTAGGGTGTGGAGGAGAAATGGTTAAGGAAAAGATCAATAAGAGGCTGGGCTTTGTGGCTCATGCCCGTAATCCCAGCACTTTGGGAGGCCGAGACGGGTGGATCACGAGGTCAGGAGATCGAGATGATCCTGGCTAACATGGTGAAACCCAGTCTCTACTAAAAATACAAAAAATTAGCCGGGTGGTGATGGGCACCTGTAGTCCCAGCTACTTGGGAGGCTGAGGCAGGAGAATGGCATGAACCCGGGAGGCGGAGCTTGCAGTGATCCGAGATCAAGCCACTGCACTCCAGCCTGGGCAACAGAGCAAGACTCTGTCTCAAAAAAAAAAAAAAAAGAAAAGGATTAATAAAAGACTAGAGACAGAAAAGCAATTAGGAATCCATTTTAGTACACTCTAAAAGGCAGACAAAAAGTAAAATAGGTTGGTGGTACTAGGGAGATAGATAAATGGAAAGTATTTTCCAATTCAGCTATCTTGACCAATGTAACAGCAAAATTGGGCATTTATACTTGAGACTTGAAAAGTTAAATTTTATAATTAATTTGTAATAAAATATTAAATCTAATACCTGAGATACAACTGTAGAATACTACAGTGTCTATATAAATCATGCAAAAAATTAACATCATTGCTTCATAATTGGAGTAAGAGTTTGGAATGTGTTTCTGCTTCCTACTTTTACCAAAACTAATTCTATACCTAAAGTGAATTTTTAAAATAACCAGGTTCTCTAGATCTTACAAACATAAACATAATTAAATGTAAGCAGAAATAAAAAGGCTTACGTGTCCTCCCATGGATATTCCAGTCATTCCTAAAGGGCCGTAACCTTCCCTCTCTAGCCAGTGCAAGAGAGCTGCAGATTCTAAAACAAGAGCTCCTCCCATCACAAAAAGGTCAGACACATTTTTTAAGCTGGACCTTCTACCCTCACAAAACAAAATAGAAAATGATTATTTTATGTATTTACATGCTAATATATGCAAATTTACAACAGGCTGCCAGACTTCATGTATTTCTTTTAAAGGACCAGATAGTTAAGTAAAACAATGTAATAAATTGGAATTAGGGCCAGGTGTGGTGGCTCATGCCTGTAATCCCAGCACTTTGGGAGGCTGAGGCAGGGGGATCACTTGAGGTCAGGAGTTCAAGACAAGACTGGGCAACATGGTGAAACCTTGTCTTTACTAAAAATACAAAAATTAGCAGGACATGGTGGCGCATGCCTGTGATCTCAGCTACGTGGAAAACTGAGGCATGAAAATCGTTTGAACATGGGAGGTAGAGGCTGCAGTGAGCTGAGATTGCACCACTGTACTCCAGCCTGGGCAACAGAGTGAGACCTTGTCTCAAAAAAAGAAAAAAGAAAAAGGAATTAGACAGCTGCTAACATTGGATTACACATCAAATCACCTAAAACTTAACAAAAAATGTGTTCCTGTTCTATAGCACATAATCTTTACTGAAATTATTATAATAGAATTTAAAGCATAACTTTTTTTTTTCTTTGAGACAGTGTTGCTCTGCTGCCCAGGCTGGAGTGCAGTGTCATGATCTTGGCTCACTGCAGCCTCCACCTCCTGGGTTCAAGCGATTCTCCTGTCTCAGCCTCCTGAGTAGCTGGGATTACAGGCGTGCGCCACCACACCTGGCTAATTTTTGTATTTTTAGCAGAGACAGGGTTTCACCATGTTGGCCAGACTGGTCTTGAATTCCTGAGCTCAAGTGATCCGCCTGCCTTGGCCTCCCAAAGTGCTGGGATTCCAGGTGTGAGCCACCACGCCCAGGCTTAAAGCATAACTTTTATTTTATTTTATTTATTTTTTTGAGATGGAGCCAGGCTGGAGTGCAGTGGCGTGATCTCGGCTCACTTCAAGCTCCGCCTCCTGGGGTTCAGGCCATTCTCCTGCCTCAGCCTCCCAAGTAGCTGGGACTACAGGCGCCTGCAACCACGCCCGGCTAATTTTTTGTATTTTTAGTAGAGACGGGGTTTCATCATGTTAGCCAGGATGGTCTTGATCTCCTGACCTTGTGGTCTTGATCTCCTGACCTCATGATCTGCCCGCCTTGGCCTCCCAAAGTGCTGGTGGGATTACAGGCAAGAGCCACTGCGCCTGGCCAAGCATAACTTTTAAAAAAGGCAACATAAATAAAGAATTTAACCAAACACTAGGCTCATGTATTACTGAAATCTTAAATATGTTGCTTATTTTCACAAAATACACAATTTATGAATATAATAAAATATAAAACAAATACATTTTTATAAATATACATGTTTTAAATAAAGACCAATTCAACTGGAATTTCATTTTTTAGAAGCTAATTTTACATAGAAGTATATTTCCTTATAAAAAGTACTTAAGCTGGGTGCAGTGGCTCACATCTGTAATCCCAATACTTTGGGAGGCCAAGGCGGGCAGATCACGAGGTCAGGAGTTCGAGACCAGCCTGACCAACAGGGTAAAACCCTGTCTCTACTAAAAATACAAAAATTAGCCAGGTGTAGTGGCACGTGCCTGTAATCTCAGCTACTCAGGAGGCTGAGGCAAGAGAATCACTGGAGCCCAGGAGGTGGAGGTTGCAGTGAGCCAGACATCATGCCACTGCACTCCAGCCTGGGTGACAGAGTGAGACTCCATCTCAAACAAAAACAAACAAACAAACAAAAAGTATTTAAATATATCCTTTTGGGTCCTAGAACCATCCGTATATAGTGATTGAAATAAATATATTTTATTTTATTACTAAAATGACCAAATTAGAATCTACTTTTCAAAATGCAACTTGTATTAAGACACACATAACTGGTTACTGGATGAAACCTTGCCAAAGTTACAAAAATTCATTTTACCAATGATTATTTATCATATGCCTACACATAATATGTGCAAAGAACCAGGTGCCAGAAGGAATGCCAAACGTGAAAAACAAAATCTTGGCTCCCAAAGACCTTACTTCCACTGTCCTACCAAGTTCTCTCAGAGCTCTAAGTCCAGAAGGTAGGGTTTCTGTTTATGGAAACTATGCTATCCTTCATCCAAACAGATCATAGTCATGCTTCATCAGAAAAAAAACCCATTTATTCTTATCTTTGTTTCCTATCCTCAAGTCATTTTTCTATTTATGATTACACAATTTCCCCAACTTTTTCTTTTAGCCTTGTATGGGAGCCTTGAATTCTCAGGTCTCCCAGTTTGCTCTTTTAGAAGTTACTGATATGAAATTCTGGGACAGTGGTTATTTATAACGGTAGACTCGGTCTCAAATTGTTTCAGCATTTTTGATGAAAATGGACTTAAGATGGCTTTTTAAAAAGAAAGAATGCGCAAGAGAGAAGTATCTGTGATTTAAATTGCAAACCATTTCTTTTTTCTTTTTTTTGAGACTGGGTCTCACTCTCATTGCCCAGGCTGCAGTGAAGTGGCTTGATCATGGTTCACCGCAGCCTCGACTTCCCGGGCTCAGGTGATTCTCAATCTCAGCCTTCTGAGTAGCTGGGACTACAGGTGTGCACCACCATTTCTGGCTTTTTTTTTTTGAGATGGAGTTTCGCGCTTGTCATCCAAGCTGGAGTGCAATGGGGTGATCACGGCTCACTGCAAGCTCCGCCTCCTGGGTTCACGCCATTCTCCTGCCTCAGCCTCCCGAGTAGCTGGGACTACAGGCGCCTGCCACCAGGCCCGGCTTTTTTGTATTTTTAGCAGAGATGGGGTTTCAGGGTGTTAGCCAGGATGGTGTTATCTCCTGACTTTGTGATCTGCCCACCTTGGCTTCCCAAAGTGCTGGGATTATAGGCGTGAACCACTGCGCCCCGCCAGAACAAAAATTCATATAATGTTTTCATAATATAATACTGTTACTCACATGCACCCCATATTACTCTTTATACAATTGCCCTGCTTTACTTCATTCACTTGGGTATTGCTAAAAATTCTGAAATCACCTTATTTATTGTTATCTATCGTCCACCCTACAATACAAACTTTATGAGAAATGTTGTGCTTATTGTTGCAGTATTCCCAGGGTCTAGGTTCAAATATTTATTGAATAAACCAAACGAAAACACAGTATCATGATTATGGAAACGCCTTGAAGTGTTATCATTTTAAAAGAATGAAAAGAGAAAGTTTATCTTCAGATTTTCTTTCTTTTTTTTTTTTTGAGACAGAGTCTCACTCTGTCACCCAGGCTGGAGTGCAGTGGCGCGATCTCGCTCACTGCAAGCTCCGCCTCCGGGTTTACGCCCGTTCTCCTGCCTCAGCCTCCTGAGTAGCTGGGACTAACAGGGGCCCGCCACCACGCGCGCCGGCTAATTTCTTGTATTTTAGGAAGAGACGGGGTTTCACCGTGGTTCTTGATCTCCTGACCTTTGTGATCGCGCCCACTTCGGCCTCCCAAAAGTGCTGGGATTACAGGCGTTGAGCCACCGCGCGCGGGCCTATCTTCAGATTTTCTATACTATTCGATTGTAAGCAATAAAGTGTCTAATTACACAATGTAAATGTACCTTAAAAAGGGAAAGGTAGGCTGGGCACGGTGGCTCACGCCTGTAATCCCAGCACTTTGGGAGGCCAAAGGGTGGGCGGATCACTTGAGGTTAAGAGCTTGAGACCGAGCCTGACCAACATGGTGAAAGCCCATCTCTACTAAACATACAAAAATTAGCTGCGTTGTGGTGGTGCATGTCTATAATTCCAAGCTACTTGGGAGGCTAAGGCGGAGAATCGCTTGAATGTGGGAGGCAGAGTTTGCAGTGAGCTGAGATCGCACCAGTGCACTCCAGCCTGGGTGATGGAATGACTGCCGTCTCCAAAAAAAAAAAAAAAAAGCAAAAAAATAAAACCAAAAAAGGAAAGGGTTTATCATTTCTTCATTTACAGTTTCACAACTAAACTATATATTAAGTCTACCTATTAAAATTTTTTATTGTATTTCCTTAACAGACATTAAAAATGCAAAAATCTTAAAAATAAAAAAATAAGTCAGTATTCATACTAACAGTTTTATAACAGAACTCCCCCCCATAATATTTAGATATTCAATTTAGAAATGGTTAACTGAAGGCAACCAACATTTTAATACTGCTGGATATTTGGTAAAAAGACTGCAAAAATGAAGGTGATATATACTTACACTTGGTCCTTGGGTTTCCTGCAGCCATTTAAGAATGTGGGTCAAAGAGAAAGTTTTAAAATAATTAAATAATTTTGTTTGAGAGTACATTAAGTAGTTAAATTTTCTACAATTTAATACTGAAATAACTCCATTCTAATTCTCTTAAGTAGGCTGTTTAGAAGTTCTTAAATTTTCAACTTAATTATTTTCCTTTTTATTAAAAAAAACCCAGCTTTATTGATATCATCATATATCACATAATTCAGCCAATAAAGTATACCTATTAACGTTTTCAGTAAATTAACAGGGTTGTACAATCTTCAATTTAAATTTTAAATGAAGTTTATTGATTTTTTCATTTATATAATTTTTATTATAGAAAATCCAAAAAGTACTAAAAAGCAGATCAAAGAACAACTACTTAATCTACAGACAACCAGATTACATTTTGGTACATTTCTCTTTATGTACAGTTTTTTTTTTTTTTTTGAGGCATAGTTTTGCTCTGTCACCTAGGTTGGAGTGCAGGCAGCTCACTGCAACTTCTGCCTCTTGGGTGCAAGCGATTCTCCTGCCTCAGCCTCCCAAGTAGCTGGGATTACAGGCGCACGACACCATACCCAGCTAATTTTTGTATTTTCAGTAAAGATGGAGTTTTGCCATGTTGTCCAGGCTGGTCTCAAACTCCTGACCTCAGGTGATCCTCCTGCCTCAGTCTCCCAAAGTGCTGGGATTACAGGTGTTGAGCCACCGTGTCAGGCCAATGCACAGTTTTTGCTTTGGATTTTGTTTTTAGTTTTTTTGCATACCTGTGCCACACCATAGAGTCTATATCCTATCTTCTTTTCTTTTTTTTTTTTTTTGAGACAGAGTTTTACTCTTTTTGCCCAGGCTGGATTGCAATGGCGTGATCTTGGCTCACTGCAACCTGTCCCCTGGATTCAAGTGATTCTCCTGCCTCAGCCTCCTGAGAAGTTGGGATTACAGGCATGTGCCAGCATGCCAGGTTAATTTTATATTTTTAGCAGAGATGGGGTTTCACCATGTTGGCCAAGCTAGTCTTGAACTTCTGACCTCAGATGATGTGCCCACCTCAGCCTCCCAAAGTGTTGGGATTACAGGCGTGAGTGAGCCACTGCACCTGGCCTATATCCTATTTTCACATCAGAAATACTTGTCATACATTATTGTAAACTTTTTAATAATAATAGTTAAAACTTACTGAATGCTTATTATTTATCAGGCACTGTTCTAGATAGTATTAATCATTTAATAACCTCAATAACCTAAGAGATTATTCCCATTTATCAATGAGAAAATTGAGGTACTAAAAGGTTATGTAATAGCCAAGGTCACAAAGGTAGTAAGCAGTAGAGAAATAAATATAACACAGGTAGAGAAATAAATGTAACACAAGCAATTGCATAAAATTCCAATATTATGAACCACAGTTTACATAACTATTTCTGTTTTAGACATTGAGCTATTTCTAATGGTTTACTGTCTAAACTAAAGCTATACAAACATGTTTTTGTTATTTAATTATTTCTTAGTTTTTACCCTTAGAATAAATTTCCCAGAATCAAAATCATTTTGTCAAGGGATATGATGTTTCAAAGCTCCTGATACACATGGTAAAAAATGTTTTCCCAAATGGTTGAACTAATTTTCCGTCATTAATAACAAGAGTGCCCATTTCAAAGCGGCCTCACCAGTACTGTGTTTTTTTTAAATAGTTGATCATTATTGTTTTAACTCTACATTTATTACCAGCAACGTTGGACATTTCTTTATATCTGTGCATCAGTTTCATTTCTTCTTCTGTGAATAGTCTGACGTCATCTTGAAAATTAAGTTAAGAACTGTCTAAACCTCAACTGATACTGTAAATGCATTTAAAACATGAGTGTTTCCTTAATAGTAAACATTTGACTTACTAATATTAAAAATCTAGCATAAGTCTCCCAAGAAATAGAAGTACAATTTCTTTACTGCACAATAGAAGTACAATCCTTATGTTAATTTTTAAGAGGCATGAAATAGTCTTTCTCTCCTTTTGATTATTGCTTCTTAAGTATTTTCTGAACTGATGACTAAATTTAACTGGTTTAGAAAACTTGGTTACTATCATTTCTTCTGATGACTAACTATATTAATAAATAAACAAGGCAAAATATTTCTTAGATATCACAAAAGGATATAATAAGGGTTTTCTAACAATAAAGAAGCCATTCGGGCTTCTTTAATCATAGGACGGGCCATTAGTGTTCGTCGCCTCCAGTAATGCTAAGGAAAGAAAAGAACACATACTCAAAAGAATACAGTAGCCACATCTGTTAAGGAGAATATGTTAACAAATTATCTGGAGATTAAGGCATTATAATAAAGTCTTACATGATCTCCTGTTCCAGCAAGATGAATGCATACAGGCCTATATTTGCTGTTCCATTCTTTAGGCACAATAAATTGGAACCTATTTTTAAAAGCAAAGACTTATCAATAAAATTCTCTTTAAAGGGCTTTCAATAAAAACTTTCAATTCTTAAAAATTTTACACAAATTATTTGAGAGAAAAGATCTGTCGAAATTTTAACATTCAAATTGTAATTAACTAAATTAAGTTGTCCAAACGCTACAAAGATATTGTAAATCTGCTTTCTGTTAGGATATTAAAATATTAAATACAACATAAACACAGAATTTATTGTCACTATTCTTTACCTTGTTCAATATCACAATTTTATAAATACATAAATAAATTTTCTTATCTTGTAGAGACACCACCGTATAAGAGTAAGTCTTAAAAGAAGTAACTATTAGCCAAGCGTAGTGGCTCACGCCTATAATCCCAGCACTTTGGGAGGCTGAGGAAGGTGGATCACCTGAGGTTGGGAGTTCAAGACCAGCCTGACCAACATGGAAGAACCCTGTCTCTACTAAAAATACAAATAAAATTAGCCAGGTATGGTGGTGAATGCCTGTAATCCCAGCTACTCGGGAGGCTGAGGCAGGAGAAGCGCTAGAACCCAGGAGGCAGAGGTTGTAGTGAGCCAAGATCGTACCACCGCACTCCAGCCTGGGCGACACAGCGAGACTCCGTCTCAAAAAAAAAAAAAAAAAAACAAAAAAGGAACAGAGTCTTGCTCTGTCACCCATGCTGGAGTGTGGTGGCACGATCTCGGCTCACTGCAACCTCTGCCTCCCGACTTCAAGTGCTTCTCCTGCCTCAGCCTCCTGACTAGCTAGGACTACAGGTCCACGCCACTGTGCCTGGTTAATTTTTGTATTTTTAGCAGAGATGGTGTTTCACCATGTTGGCCAGACTGGTCTCAAACTTCTGACCTTGTGATCCACCCGCCTCAGCCTCCCAAAGTTCTGGGATTACAGGTGTGAGACACCGTGCCTGGCCAAAAGACATAACTCTTTAGATATAGCTCTGACTTTTCCTCTTTGCAAAAGAAATGCTTGGCTGTACAAGCTGTTGATGAATCAATAAAATAGTTTATGTTGTCTTTTTAAAAAACTTTTAGTATATGATAGAATCTGACTCATTAAAATGTTGATACTTACAAGTCAAGTCAATCCATGCCAGAAAACAAAAAACACAAATGCGCAGATAGTTTTCTCTATTTGTCTTTTTTTTTTTTTTTTGAGACAGGGTATTGCTGTTACCTAGGATGGAGTGCCGCAGCATGATCACAGCTCACTGAAGCCTTAACTTTCTGGGCTCAAGTGATCCTCCCACTTCAGCCTCCCAAGTAGCTGGGATTACAGGTACGTGCTACCAAGCCCAGCTAGTTTTTTATTTTTTGTAGACATGGGGTCTCGCTATGTTGCCTAGGCTGGTCTCAAACTCCTAGACTCAAGCGATCCTCCTGCCTTAGCCTCCCAAAGTGCTGGGATTACAGGCATGAGCCATTGCACCTGGCCTTTGTTTTTTCCTTAATTGTAGTATTTTGGTCCTCATTTAATGTTTTATGTTTTTTCTTTTAACCTGTATGACTTTTTTTTTTTTTAACTGTGGTAGAATATACATGTCATAAAATTTACAATTTTAACCATTATTATTTTTTTTTTAGAGACAAGGTCTCACTTTTTAGCCCAAGGTGGAGTGCAGTGACACAATTATGGCTCACTGCAGCCCAGACCTCCTGGGCTCAAGCAGTCCTCCCACCTCAGCATCCCAAGCAGTTGGGACTACAGGCATGTGCTATCACGCCTGACTAATTTCTTTCTTTCTTTCTTTTTTTTTTGAGAGACGGAGTTTTGCTCTTGTTGCCCAGGCTGGAGTGCAATGGCGTGATCTCGGCTCACTGCAACTTCCACCTCCCAGGTTCAGGCGATTCTCCTGCCTCAGTCTCCCGAGTAGCTGGGATTACAGGCATGCACCACCACACCCAGCTAATTTTGTATTTTAAGTAGAGATGCAGCTTCTCCATGTTAGTCAGGTTGGTCTTGAATGGCTAATTTCTTTTATTTTTTGAAGAGACAGAGTCTTCTTATGTTGCCCCAGATGATCTTGAACTCCTGGGTTGAAGTGATCCTCCTGCCATGGCCTCCCGAATAACTGTGATTACGGACATGAGTCCCCACACTTGTCCGTTTTAACCATTTTTAAGTGTATGATTCAGTGGCATTAAGTACAGTAACGTTGTGCAACCATCACTACCATCTATCTTCAAAACATTTTCATCTTCCCAAACTCATTTCTCATTTTAATTTTCTTAGCAGTTTATATTTTAGAATTACTATCATAGGAAAAGACTGTACTGTCACCTGAAGGTTTGACCTGAGGTGATTAGATTCTCAAGCAACATAAAACCTCAATTCTGAGCTGAAAACTTTGCTTGGACAGAATGGGTAATATCACCACTTATCCACTGTCAATAAATTGCAGAATAGAACAAAGACAAATAAAGTTAGGATGATTTAAGAATTATTTATGTTTTGTGCTCATGGGAACTCTTAATTTTCAGTTCCATAATGAGAATTGCCACTGTTAACTAACAGCTTTGCTTCATTTTGCATTCTGAGCATTGTCCTGTTTCCTGATATTTTAAAGATTTTGGGGAAATGAAAACATTTACGAATTTTTTCAGTAGAAAGCTGGACATCTCTGCTATTATTTGTACTTTTCTTTTGTTCCATAGCAATGCATGTAGTGACTTCATTATTGGATAATAGCTTTAATAGGAATTTTTTATTGTAGTATTAACTAGCTACCCACCTAATTAATTTCAGTAATCAGTGCTCAAATTCGACTATTTTTTAAAGTCTTCCCCAGTGTCCCATGATGAATGGGTATAGACCATGTGACTCCTCTGCCACAGCTGACTGGGCCAAGCATAAGCCAAGTTAGGGCAATGAGATTTGCTCTTTTGGTAATATGGAATTGGGACAGACTATAGTTAGATTCTGTTGAGCTTTTGGATATGAAAGCTTTTGGATATGGCACAACCCCGTCTCTATTAAAAACACAAAATTAGCTAGACATGGTGGCAAGTGCCTGTAATCCCAGCTACTTGGGAGACTGAGGCAGGAGAATCACTTGACTCTGGGAGGCCGAGGTTGCAGTCAGCCAAGATTGCAGGGCCACTCCACTCCAACCTGGGTGACAGAGCAAGACTCCATCTCAAAGGAAAAAAAAAAAAAAGAGAGATGGAGCCTTGCTCTGTCACCTAGGCTGGAGTGCAGTATCACAATCTTAGCTCACCACAACCTCCGTCTCCGGGTTCAAGTGATTCTCCTGCCTCAGCCTGCAGAGTAGCTGAGATTACAGGTGCTCACCACCATGCCCAGCTAATTTTTGCATTTTTAGTAGAAATGAGGTTTCGACATGTTGGCCAGGCTGGTCTCGAACTCCTGACCTCAGGCGATCCACCTGCATAGGTCTCCCGAAGTGCCAGGATTACAGGCGTGAGCCACCATGCCTGGCTCCAGCATGTTTCTAACAGGAATCTCAGAAAAGAATGGAGACAAAACAGGAGAAAAAAAAGTGGCAAAAATAATAGATGAAAATTTATCTGTTTTTTTCCAAACTGAAAGGGTCTTCTGAGTGGCAGGCACAAAGAATTAAAAAAAAAAAACAAAAAAAACAAAACAACAACAACATCTAACCACTAAGGATACAGAAAAGACCACAAAAGTTTCTAGAGAGAAACAACTGGTTACCTACAAAAGTAGAAGAATCAAGTTGGTATCAAGTATTTCATCAATAATGCTGGAAGACAGAAAAAAACACACCAAAGCCTTCTAAATTCTGAAGGAAGTTATTCTGAACCAAGAATTACATGAGTAGGCAAGGGGTTAACTAAGTATGAGGGATAATAAAGTCATTTTTACATATGAATAACTCAGAAATTTACTATCTACAGAACCTCAAGGAAAAAAGTATCAGAAGCTATAAGGACAACACTAGCACATCAAAAAGTTATCCACTACAATCAAGTGGGCTTTTATTCCTGGGGTGCAAGATTGGTTCAATATATGCATATTAATAAAGGTTATTCACCACATAAACAGACTTAAAAAAACCACATGATCATCTCAATAGATACAGAAAAGGCTTTTGACAAAATTCAACATCACTTCATGTTAAAAACTTTTAATAAATTAGGGATCAAAGGAAGATACCTCAAAATAAGAGCCATCTATGACAAACCCACAGCCAACACCATACTGAATAGGCAAAAGCTAGAAGCATTCCCCTTGAGAACTGAAACAAAACAAGGATTCCCATTCTCACTACCACTATTCAACACAGTATTGGAAATCCTAACGAGAACAATCAGGCAACAGAAAAAAATAAAAGGCATCCAAATAGAAACAGAGGAAGTCAATTATCTCTCTTTGCAGTCAATATAATGTTATACCTCAAAAACCCCATAGACTCTGCTAGAAGGCTCTCAGAACTAATAAATAACTTCAGTAAAGTTTCAAGATAGAGATAGAAGATTAATGTATAAAGCTTAGTAACATTTCTTTTTTCTTTTCTTTTTTTTTTTTTTTTGAGACAGAGTCTCGCTCTGTTGCCCAGGCTGGAGTGCAGTGGCCGGATCTCAGCTCACTGCAAGCTGCGCCTCCCGGGTTCACACCATTCCCCTGCCTCAGTCTCCCAAGTAGCTGGGACTACAGGTGCCTGCCACCTCGCCCGGCTAGTTTTTTTTTGTATTTTTTTAGTAGAGACAGGGTTTCACCATGTTAGCCAGGATCTCCTTACCTCGTGATCTGCCCATCTCAGCCTCCCAAAGTGCTGGGATTACAGGCTTGAGCCACTGCGCCTGGCCCGCTCAGCAACATTTCTATACACCAATAACATCCAAGCTGAGAGCCAAATCAAGAACACAATCTCATTTATAATAGCCACACAACAACACACACAGAAACCTAGGAATACAGCTTACCAAGGAGGTAAAAGATCTCTACAATGAGAATTACAAAACACTACTGAAAGAAATCAGAGATGACATAAAC